TGTTTTTCTCTCCACAGGTTGACCGAAGTGAAACACCCAACCGCAACATGAGCTAGAGGGACCGTCCACCGGAAGTCTCCCGCTGGTGAGTTTCGATTTTTCGTATTTTTTCTGCCCATCGAGGCCCTTTAGCATGTGTGCTCACAGGAATCGATGTAAAATCGATCGAACTTGGCCGAAAACAGCCAACCCAAGGCGGACTGCTGCTGCAGCTGCAGCGCCGTCGCTGGAGCACAACAGAGCCGTCATGCCTGATTTTCGAAATTGGCCGAGTAGACCCTAGAACTGATTTTTTGGTTATATTTGGAACATTTGTATGTACCATAAGTGTGTTTCAGTTCTCGAAGAAAAAATCAGAGAATTCAGGAACCGCCTGTAGGCGCAGTAAGCCATTTAGCTTTGGTGTCAAATTAATTAAGGATCCATCACCTTATTTCCTATCATAGATTTAAAGTTTGAATAAATAATAATGCAGTTTTTTGTACAAATTAAATAGATGTGCATAATTAATTACGGATTGCTAATGAAGTCCGAATCGGACATTGTTCTCTGTTGATTTCTGTTGATTTATTTTACAGTCTAAAAGCATGATGGTATCTGTTTTGTATATTTTATGGTTTAAATGCATGTATTACTGTCTTACTCAACCACTGTTTGATTTTGGAATTTAAGATATGATTGCATTATCGGATGCATGTTCATTTGTTTATATGATTATGTTTAATTTGGTAATGGAGACTAAGGAAAAATAAGAAAATGGTGTGATCAAATAAATAGATACGATAATAGTCTCACTAGATATCTTTAGGAGATGGTGGACGGACCAGGTTCATAGGGAACCCTACCGTGAACATTGTCTCATATAGGACGGGGTATGGAGACTTGATAATTTGGTGCTCATACCCGACGGAGACGTCCCACTTCACCCTCATACCGGATGGAATATTGAGGTTTAATGTCTTGGCACTCATACCAAACGGGGTATGGGGACGGCTCTGTAATTAAGATTGTTAAGGGAAATGATTCACTTGTAGCGGGGACACTCCTATTGATCCCCATGAATACTAGTAGGCTGGTGAAACGAGAAATGGTTATGATTTAGTTTATTGTTAATTGATATAAATTTATGATATGTTCTATGTTGCTGATCGTGCATAAAGTTATGATCTGTATGATATTATTGCTTCTATAGTTTGTTTTCATAAATTCCACAGTGGTAAGTGAAGAGTAAATGATATTATGATTGGTAAACAAATTTGCTAAATTTAGTGCTCCATTAGTTGTTTTGATTTTCTACCAACATTTGCTTCTGTGCCGCTGATATAGTGTGATATCCTTACTTGGCTAGTATAGCTCATCCTTTATTTAACCATTTCAGATCAAGAGGATCTGGTTTCTTAATCTGGTTCCAGAACCCGATCCGCAAGAAGATTGCGAGTAGATGCTAGATACTTTATATTTTCCTCTACTTTTCTCATTTCTCGTGTTTCTTTCAGAGAATTCATTATGTAATATTTATTTATTACTTTTAAGTTATTGTGTAAGGGATGTAAACCTTAATCTTTTATTTCGTTTCCGTACTTAAATTATTATATATTTTCTTTTGAATTTTCAGGGTCGTTACATTATATCATTCTTTCCTCATATGCTCATTAATCACTTGAAAAAAAATAAATAAATAAACAAGACCAAAGTTAATAAAAAAAA